CTCTCTTTCCTGACCCGTTTGCCGAAGTGGGTGCACCCATGTGTTGAAGTATTGCTAACCCGTTTGTAAAAGTGGTTCTAATTCTTTTGCCGAAGCGGTTCATGTGATATTATTTGCCGAAGAGGTGCATTAACATGTTATCCGGATTTTTGCTAAAGCGACCCATTGCCCAGCCCTATAAAACACCTTCACCACTCGTTGAGGTTTCTGTTGAAATGACGGATTTAATAAACCTTTGGCGTGTCCTATCTTTCCTCAGAATTACTGGCTGCATTACCGCTTTCATCGCGTTCGAAAGATGCTTGTGTATCGCCTTACCTCTGAAGACCAAGAGGATTCTGACTCCACGAAGAACAAAGATCACAATTGTCTCTATCTTTATCCTCATGATTTCCGTCTTTTCCCCTTTCTACTACTCACAAAGACTGTCTTGGGTACTGGATCCAGCCAAAAACACTTCACTACTGTCAATAACTTTTGCTGAAGAAAGAGAAATTGTGGATTCCATTGTGTTTATGACGCAGGGCGTAATAACTAACGCGCTTTCTTTCATCACTGTCATCTGTTGCACCATCATTCTCGCTACTAAATTGAACAGTAAGACAAAATGGCGTCAAGCCACGGCTAGCAAAGGAGTCGGTGGAAAAGAGGAATTTGGGGCCAAAGAAAAAAAGGTTGTGAAGTCTGTCATCCTCATCTCTACTATCTTTATAGTTTGTTACATGCCAGGGGCAGTGACTTTTCTTGCTATGTTTCTGGAACCAGAATTTAATGCGGGAGGGAAATATGAAAATTTATGTATTGCCGCCGCCTCACTTATGTTCACAATGGAGTCGGTCAATTCCAGTGTAAACGTTTTTGTATATCTGAAAATGAGCTCAAAATATAGAGAAATGTTTATGAAACTTTTCAAAAGGTAGTGGACACTAGATTAAAAATAAATGATCAGTTTGAAGGGAAAAAAGACATCTGTGAAAAGCTGGAAAATTTTTTGTCACAGTTGGATGAATGGTAGGGGGAAGATCTTCTTCAACGCAGCCTGTCCTGAATACTAGCCAACTGTTTTTGGTTTAGCAAGAGTTTTACGGCTCTTGTAACTGCAAAAAGCCTACTCCTTGGCAGGGACTTGTTGCTTTAAAAGAGTAATCCAACCCCAAATGAAAGGGTGCGTTGAAATGTATTTACTGTCCAAAATGGTATATTGGAGGCTTGGAACACATACGTTAAGCTGCCTTACTTTACATATGAAGTTACCCCAGCTCCCCCAGCCCCCTCCCCCTATTTTCCCTTGGTGCTATTTCTTTGCTCTAGTCTATCTACTATTTGATGATAAATAAACATGTTAGTGTCTAAGTTAGAGGCTATTTTTTCCTCAAGACCGTGGAGAGTGTAATAATGAACAGCAAAAAATACCTACCTATCTACCTACCTGCCTGCCTGCCTGCCTGCCTGCCTGCCTACCTACCTACCTACCTACCTACCTACCTACCTACCTACCTACCTACCTACCTGCCTACCTACCTGCCTGCCTACCTACCTACCTACCTACCTACCTACCTACCTACATACCTACCTACCTACCTACCTACCGACTTACCTACCTACCTACTTACCTACCTACGTACATACTACCTACGTACATACATACATACGTACATACGTACATACGTACATACGTACATACGTACATACGTACATACATACATGCATACATGCATACATACATACATACATACATACATACATACATACATACATACATACATACATATCTATAATAAAGTCAATTGAAATTTTATCTTTCTGTGTATGTTGTATTCATTGTCTCGTTTTCTTTTGCTGTGTGGATGTGTTTTCAGCCCCGATCAGCACACATTGGTTGTTTCAGAGGTAGAACATTCCTGTTAACTCCGTATGCGACAAGGCTAACAACACTGCTGGGAACCTTGGAAAGTCACGAAATATTATTCTAATGGGCCTTGAAACCTGAATACCGAACACAGTGATTCTTTTTCTAAACTGGCATTTAAAGAAGACTATCAAAACTTAAAAAGTTACTCAGATGGATAATAAAAACTGATTTGCACGCTCGTGCACGCACACACACACAAACACACACACACACACATGCACACACACACATACACATACATAAACTCAAACATTCACACACACACACAAAGAGAGAGATTGAGATTGAGATTTATAGAGAGAGAGAGAGAGAGAGAGAGAGAGAGGGGGGGGGGAGGGGGCAGAGACAGAGACAGGGACAGAGACAGAGAGAGGGGTGGGGCTGGAGGAAACTGGAATGGAAGGGTCTTTATTAAGGCAGAAGATATTCGCAGACGTCTCCTGCGAGTACCCAGGAACTATTCGGAGACGCACACTGATGCACTGCTTTGGGGGCTCCGCGAACAGAATAATGGCACAGTCGTAGATAAAAATCGGCCTTGTGAATGCGGACCGTTGAGATGTAGGAACATCCTAGCTGCAGACATTGTCTTCGGACAGACATCTCATGGGACTCCTCTACTGAATTCTGCCATGCACCTTTGTGCCAATGGTGTTTGTTAGACCTGAAGTAATCGTTTTGTCTGAAATTTATTTTTGATTCTCTGCAATTCCTAACTGATAGAACATCTCCACCCCCTTGCATCAAAGAGGTCATAGGAGCATTTTAATAACATTATTTCCGTACTTTCAGCGAAACTTACGAAATGAGATGGTGGTGAGGTAATGTTCAATACCAAAACTCTCTGCTATTTAGTAATCTTACCCATGATCTCAGCAGGCAAAGGTAACTTGAGAAAAACAATATCTGCAAACTTCTGTTAGCCCGTTGGACCACTGGCCTAATGCAAACAAGTGCGCCATGCTACGAAAATGGGGACATAACTGAAAATGGGTTGTTTTTTACGCGCTATAGAGATAATACAATATAATCTATCTATCTATCTATCTATCTATCTATCTATCTATCTATCTATCTATCTATCTATCTATCTATCACCCCTCTCTCTCTCTCTCTCTCTCTCTCTCTCTCTCTCTCTCTCTCTCTCTCTCTCTCTCTCTCTCTCGGCGTCCGGTAGAATCTTGAAATTGTAATCAGCCAATCATCGTGTTAAAGCCTTACACTACCCAGTCATGCAGCATATCAATTTAAAGCAAAATACATTCTGCATCATCTGACATAATAGTATTTCATCCATGTTGAGAGAAGCCCAAGATATGGTCACTCAGAATAAACCTTTAAAAATGAGACTTGGCAAAATTGTGCGATGCCTAAAAGACGTAAAAGTGTGTTCGCGTGTGTATATAGGTGCATCAACATTGGTGGAATAGACTTGTATGGAATATAGAGTGAATCAAAAATAGTTTTGTCTCTTAAATGAACATCATTGTCTGTTGATATGTTCAAACAGATTGGAAAAACAAAGCAGCCACTAAAGCTGCGCAGAATCCGGACTTAACATTACATGTGTTCATTAATATTTTGTTTAGGTGCCATTGGTTCCGTCTGGACAACGAAACCTTTTTTTGCTCATGGACTGTGTTGCTCTTTTGACAGAATCATCTGTCAATGAGAAACAGAGGCCATGAAACGTCTATGGATTGGGGTAGTCTGAGCTGGAAGGAACACATCCACCTTCGAGAGAATCTACGGATGGTTTGATTCAGGGGACACATCGCGCAAGTGCTGGAACGTTGAGTTTTATTATCCCTATTTTCGTCTTAGTATCATTCAAGTAGACATCTCCAGGCATTACAAGGCACTTTCTCACAGGGCTAAGGCCACTGGACAATTCTCAGACAACCAAATCATACCAACGTTGGGGTGTTCACCAGTTAATATAGTCCCAATATGAATCCTACCTGTACGTGAAGCCTCATTAAACAGCAGCTGAAGAAAAGCGACTTTGCTCCCAATTCATACACTTTGTATCTCACTGTGACATCTGAGATGAACTGACAGAAAATTATACACACAATTTAATGTAGCTCATTCCCAAAGGTTCCGCATTCTTCTCAAACCCAATGATGACTAAACACAACAATACTGAGCACAATTAGAGTTAAGTCCAAGTTGCGGGGTATTTGTGGAAAATTTTTTGTTTTATACTGTCGCAATAAAGTATTGTTTATTGCAAAGGCAGAATTGTCCATCCATTTAATATTATTATGCAATGTACGTTCATTCTATCAATATTGATGCACTACAGTATTCAAACCAGAATCATCCAACATTTTACCAACTGAGCTAATGGTACGACCAGTACCACAGAAATACAAAAAGAACATTTGCAATAGTTGAAAACAGTCTTTATTTACTAAATCCAATCCTGAAAATTAGAAACACTACAATGGCAACCAAAACGAGAGTTTTAAAAGGCTAAGTATGGTATGGTCAAACTTGCTATATGGTTGTGAGGGCTGGACAACTACACCAGATAGTGAGAAAAAAACAACAACCAAAAAGTTAAAAAAAGAGGCAGCAGAAAAGTATTTCTTATGAGTCTGTTGACAATCTCAAGGAAGGTAAGGAAAGGATATTTGGCACTGCTCAACGGCAAAACTCCGCCCCGACAAGACCTGTGTGCTGTGGTGCTCGCTGAATGATGTTCGTCCTTCGCTGGCAAAGATGACCTTGACTTCACATCACTGGAGGAGTGAGGTGTGTGCGAAGATGGCTGATCAGTCGATCTTCGCTTGGAAATGTCTGTTGCAGTGGGGGCAAGGGATGTTTAGGGCTAAACTAGGCTGGAAGGTAGAGGTGTCTCGGTCTTTTCTCAGCTGCCTCCTCCAATCTTTCTTTCTGACGCACGCTGAATAATCCCCCAGTGAAAGCAGAGGTGCCCACAATCACCATTAGCAGGATGGTCCTGAAGCGTGAGCACTCACACAGGTATCCAGATATTACTTTCGAATGATTACTCTCAGGCAAAGCTCACATATCCAGGATCGTCACAAGAGCCAGAAAAGGTCTGACTACACAGAAAACCATGGCGTGTAACAGAATGCGACAGAGAAGTTTAGCCATACTGTGCCAGATTCTTGTGCTGTCCGTGATAGACTATGGATTCGGTCTCCTCGCCTTGTCAACGTCTGAACTGAGACGCTTTGAAAGAATTCAGAACGAAGGTATGCGGACTGTTCTCGGGTGCACAAGAGGTACACCCTGAGAGGATGTACGCTTATCTCCTGGACATCCCAGACATGACAGAACCCCACACGATTGCTCTGGTGAACGTGTATTTGAGAGTCAGCGCCGATGATCAGCACCCACTACATGACAAAGTAGGAATAACTATACGCACACTTCTGCTTGTAGAGACTGAATGGATGAATGAGGCGGGGACGACTTTGTCTAAATGCTGTGAAGTGCAAGACATCCGAAGGGGCAGTGAATTGGTCTGCGTCACTGACACACTTGGGTAGTATACTCGAGTGGTAGCAACCTTAGAATGTCGTGAATGGCCAGAGGGGCCAGCAAAAACCCGAGGCAGAGACGCTGATGGAGGAGAACAGTGGACAAGGCGACGCAGTCATTTTCACATATATGGATCAGTACAGCGTGGGGTCAAATCTGGATAGACTTTCAGCGCCCGTGTAAACGGGGTCCTATAGAGAGCAGTCAGGCGCAACTAGCATAACAACGTCCAGCTTGTGTATGAAGATGAAAGCTATCACAGGGGCCCAAAACTGGATTAAGGCGACGGAGCATCAGTCTACCATCCTTGTCACTGACTCGGTGAGTACCACCGAAAAAGTGAAGAAGAACATGACGTATGCAGACTAGCGAGAGGCGACACGAAGCAACAGACTTACAAAGATTGCATAGATCTTAAGCCTTGGTCATGCAAGAGTTAGAAGCAATGAACGTGCTGTTACGCTAGGCAGCCAGGCTGAGATTGGCGGCACCATGCAATTTGATCCATCAACAGTCATGCAGCCTTGACAGCATGGTTCAACAACCATAGAGAAGATGAAGGCTTCATATCACACAGAATGGAAAGACTGAGGGAAGCTGTAGTCTCAAGGGGGTTGGGGAGAGACAGCAACCTGCATGGAAAAGTCAGAAAAATATCCAACCAGCTGATAACTGGCGCGATCAGCAAGCCGACCCTTTCACAGATCCTGGAGAGGAGGGAGAAGCAGCAATGGCATTGTACGGCCTGCGATGATACCTATTCCCCAACCAAGTAAGTTTTTCTTCTTCCTCGTTCTCAATGACAGCTGCTAGACAGCCAGTCCGATGTCGCGCACAAACTGTGCAGTCCGCTTCAAATTTAAGAGACTGCCATAGAGCTCTCTCTCAAGGGGAGTCACATTCTGTCACGTCTGTGTACGAAGGGTGGTGTAGCGCGGACAGTGCTGAAGGATATGATTAAAATCATCTTGATCGTGTCCACATTCACAGATAGCGGACTCTCTCACTTTTAATTTAGTGTGCATATGGTGTTTGAGTCTGTTGTGGCCACAACGGAGTCGAAAGATTGTGACCTGGTCTACTCTAGTTAGCATGTAGTAGGGGTCACGTCTGTTGTGTTTGGGGTGGAATCTTTTCCATCTGTTTCTTAAGGCAGATTTTATTAGCGTTTTTGACTCTGAGAGATTCATGCCATCTTCAATCTGGGTCATTTTGGCTCCTTCTTTGGCTAGATCATCTACTTTTTCATTTCCATGAATGCCACAGTGACGTGGTATCCACAGCAGAGTTGTGTTGGCTTGGGAGTTTAGATCACATAGGAGTGAAAGGAGTTGTCGTACTTGAACAGATTGTGGCTTTTGGAGAGCTTGTAGGACAGATTTAGCATCTGTCACGATGACGAAGGGACTTCAGATTTGGTGGAAAGCTCTTCTAGGTTCTCTCGAATTTGAGGGGGGTGATTGATCTGAAGAAGATGGACTTGACACGGGTCTAGTGGGGTTGGAGATTCTTCAAGAACCAAGTAAGTAAGTAGTAAGTAAGGCTAATGCTCAAGGAAACCCATCGGGGGCGCTCACAGAGGCGAAGCGTCTATATAATCAAATAATCACTGCTTCCCTTCCTAATTTTGAAAAATTACCCATAGACGTAAACCTCTTCAATTAAATGTAAAAAGACGTTCATAATCACCAATGAACAATAGACTATGCCTAACCTTCAAAACCGTTTCATTGCCACAGAAACAGCCTGTTCGCCCCTATCGGGCCACTCCATAAGCAGTCACAAGCTTTGATTAAGTAAGCTTAAAGTGAGGCTGGAAGAGTCTACCAATAGAGTTGAAGGGAACATATTATGCATAGCAGTCAAAACAGTTTCATTGCCGCATATACCCTGTTCACCCCTTTCGAGCCACAGTTATAAGCAGCCGTACTCCCTGATTATGTAAGCTAACTAACTACACTGGTCGAGTCTACCTCACAGATGTGAGGGGAACTAACTCCTAATAATAAATCTTGACTGCCTCGAGTGCTTGTTTTTTTTCCTCGACTTTTTAACGTCCTATAATCAGATCTTGACCTCGATTATGACACCGGCTCCTGGCCGCGAAAAGCTAGACAAAAAAACAGCCAAATGTGAAATAAAAAATTAATAATTGGCATGCTCTACCCAAGTATTTCGGCTGTCTGGTAATAACATGCCATTGTAGTACTGACATCTCTGCTTCTTTCCTTGGTGTTCGGATGTTCAAATCTTAAGTTCAATTTAAGGTTAGTTAGAATAAATATTTAATGAAATACTTTCCCGATTATTTTAGCGGTTGAATATGCATACAACATGAATTCAGGATTTGTTTTCATTCACAACTCAGAGTTGCCGCCTCCAGTGCCAGTAAGATTCTTATGACTTGTGTGAGTGTGATATCTCCAGGCCCTGTCTGGTCCCATCTCACTTTGATTACCCTGTCAAACAAGTCAGCCTTCGCCCCTGGGCGCTCAGTGAGATTACAAGAACAACAACAAAAACACGATCATCATCAACAACAACCAAAGCAACCAAAACAATCGAACATGTAAAAAATAGAAAGAGACCAATGCAGAATCTGGGACACTTGAGTTGACATAAAAGTCTTGGACATCCTGATCTCATTTTAGAAACAGAAGGAAAAAGAGGTGGACATACTGTTCCAAAAATTGTCTGACAAGACTCCAAGTACAAACTTTGTGATCTTTTGTCGGTTCTTTCAGCACCCAGCGGGCCGACACTGTACGTTATCGAACTCTTCAAACACATTTCTATGATCAACATTCTTCGGGGTGTCAACATCGTCAGCCAAATCACGAATTTTCGGCTTCCTGTCCTCATGAATAAAAAAAATGCATCAACACCTGCAATGTTCTTGTCTGTCACAGAAACCTGGGGGCGCCCACTTCTTGGATTATCTACAAGATTTGAACTCCTTGCCTTGAACACGTTACACCATTGGTAGGCCTATTTTCTTGCTCAGTAGATCTTTACTGCCATGCTAACATAAAATATTTCAAGACGAATTTCAGTTGGATTTCTCCTTTTCCCGAATAGCCTCATAAATGATCTTAAGCTGATCGTAGATGGGGGCGTAAAATATTATACTTAAAAAGAAAATAGTAAATGGATCCCAAATTAGCAGGCGTAAAAGTAGAACAATGTGCAGATTGGTATGACTATAGGACCTACCAAAAGAAGAAATGGGTAAACAAAAGTGAAAATGAACAGTAGTTCGTCTTTTTCTTCACGCACATGTAATGATATCATCATCATCATCAATGCCTTTTTCAACTTAGATCAGGGTATAGTTCACAAATAAACGCTTTCCATGTTTCCCTATGTCCACTTAGCCTCTTGATTGTATTCAATGTTTTCCCACTTTTCTTTTTTACCTTCCCATTCATCTCTATTCCGGGGGATTCTAATACAACACGTTCTTTGTTATGAAGCTGCATGGCCCTCTGAGTAATGACAAAGTACATCTTTTCTTTTCTTTTAAAAGCTGTATGACATATTGTGAACAACTGGATGTTAATTGAACCCATATTTGGCAGATCACCCGAGAAGAATAGGGTACAGGAGAAACTGATAACCAAAAAGTTGGTTTTTTTCGGAGGGGGAAGGGGGGGGGGGGCATACCAACCATCGTCCTTGAAATCGGTGTGACAACTGAATATTAATCATCATCATTTCTTCTAAAGGTAGGGGAAGACCTAGAGCAACCTACTTGGAGAAAGAGAAGGGGGAGAAGAGAGAGAGAGAGAAAGAGAGAGAGAGAGAGAGAGAGAGAGAGAGAGAGAGAGAGAGAGAGAGGGAGAGAGAGAGAGGGGGGGGAGAGGGAGAGAGTTGGGGAGGGAGGAGGGACGACATGGCTAATCTAATTACGGTTGAATGTAAGCATATGAGTGTGTGTTTGTGATACATACGCACGTGCGCATGAACACACATACACAAACAAACACACTCACCAAACATATCTAGAATTTCTTTTGAACCATCGAAATTTTATCTTTGAACTGCTCATTTCTTAGCCCCACCAACATTTTGATCCCCCGACGCCACTGAATTAGAACAGCCCGATAAAATACCAATTACTGGGAGGCTAAAGCCGTCATTATTATGACCACTCCTGAAATGGAAAGAACAACATCCACGTCAGAGCCATCCCGACCCCTATTACTTCCGCTCTCGTCAAGAGCAGCTTGTTCTTTTCAGACCTAGAGCAGGCAAAGACACCTTCTCTACACAACGTTAAGGATTGGCCACTCATAATAGTTTTTATGCAAAACCGGCAGCCAAATAGAAAATCACAATATATATTAATAATAAGAATCATGTAACTTTGACCTTTAAAAAAAATCAAATATGATAACGACCTGGCCACTACACGCCACAATCCTTCCGTATACTTAAATATATCGTGGGGCCACATTTGAAAAGAAAATTTATTATCATCTGTATTTGGTGGAGATATAAAGTCAAACAAAAATTCTAAAAGAAATAAATAAAGACAAAAACGAAACAAAACACAAAGCAACCCCCCCCCCC